AATTTCAGTATTCGTGAGCAGGGTAAAGCGTGTTGATGCGATCCGGGATCCTCATTTACGACCCCTCCCCCCTTGAAGGTACCCATCCGTACGACTCCCCGCCCCATCTCCCCTTACCTCCCCTACCACATTCATCGCGGTAACGCATAAACGGATGTCAATCTCAAAAAACACCTGCGTGAGAACTTCAGTGAGGTTTCGGAAGCAGAATTTTTAGGCTAATGGGTGCGCCCAACATCTGTAGCACACATACACACCTTCAATAATGTTTGAGAATCTGCAAGTTTTTCGAAGAATTTTCTGGCATACTTCAGGCCAACAAATTCGGTTCTTGTATGCGACACAAATTTTTGCACGGAGAAAAAAAATGACATTCTTGAAGTACAAAAGATGTTTTCGGCTAAGAAGCTTACTTTCTACCGCTCGCACAGTTTATACTGCGAAAAAAACCGCTTTAGCGCCGTCAACGATGTCAAAAACGTGCATGAGCACGGTAGTTTGAAAATTCGTGACTAAGGCCAGGAAGTTTGAGGGGCTGCATTGAACAGGTTCTGTAGGACGGTGCCCAGGCTACCCACAGAAAAAGTTTCAGTCATTGAGGAGCAGTAAGCTGGAAAAAATTTAGATGCGACTCTCGCAAATTTAGATGCGATCCTAAAAATCAAAAACTTTGATTTTTAAGCTTGAAATTTTGTAACTCATTGGAGAAATTATGAAACGGCCTGAAATTTTTATGAGGGAAAGTAGGAAGATGGCCTCATATTACAGCAGAGTTGCAGCCAACAAACTTCAAATAGCTCCGGAAAAATTTAGATGCGACCCAGATACGACCCCCCTTTTGTCATTTTTTTGCCACCATACATAAAATCATAAGAAAATCCGAAGGTTATAAAGTAGGACCAAATTTTGCATAAATGTAGCAGAGCACCTCTGAAATACAAATAAATCGTAAGGACGTATGAAAAGCATCACAAACAGATTTAAAAATTATTGATGATTAGCGTTGATGGAGATATGCGCTTTTGTCGAGTTTGCCATTCTTCAGTGAGTCTTCGGAAGCAGGATGTCTACACCAATCGTTACATCCAACATCTTTATCACACATACATGCCTTTAGTAGCATTTGAGCTTCTGAACGTGTTTATTTTTTGAATTTTAGTCATATCAGCAGGATTCGATCCTCGTTTGAGACAATATTTTGCGGGAGAACTAGCGATTTCCATCAAAAAGAAAGGACTAAGTCGTAGTCTTTCAAAAGTGCAGCAAATGAAGCGAATTCCTACGTTTGCAAATGTTTCCAAATTATTGTTCACTCGTTTTTATTTGATACATTGGTACACGGCATTCCATGCATTTATTGTTAAAGGCAGTGTCCGGGCAGAAACTCGACTTCTAAAAAATCAACTTATCTGGGGTTATCCGCAACGCTGAATCCGAAAACCCACATCAGAAGGCGCGAAAACGGCGAGAACATGCATTTTCCAAGTCCTCACATTTCGAAATTTGGGGATCCCCGCCAGGCTAAGACGCAGAGGTTGCAAAGAGCGCACGGTTTTTAACTGTGGCGGCATACGTACTCTGCCGTCTGGCAGGAATTCAAACAACTCGGAGGACCCCGCCCCAAGGCGTAAGTTTCCCCAATTTGCAATCGTTTTTCTTGCTTTAGGTCGAACGTTTTATGCTCGCAGTTGCGCGATGTTGTGTCTCAGGGGGGCTACTTTCACATGGCAGAGAAATCTCAGAACCCCCATTTTGCCCGGACACTGCCTTTAAGAACATGTAATAATTATTTGCCATTATTTACTACCAGTCCAAAGCGCCGCTTGGCGGCGCTTCGGACTGGCTGTTTGTGTGTAAAGTAGCATGTCTTTAGAAGTTAAAACTTCAGGATTCTTCCGCGTACCTTTTCTTAGCCAACGGCAGCCTTATTCTTCCAAGCACGCACAGCCTTATGTAAAATACACCGATAAGTGATAAGTCAGGTTCTAGCATACAGACGTCCTAGGACAAACTCAAACACTCTTTAGCCAATTCGGGCTCAGACAGCCCCAAGCCCCTGCTACCCTAGTCAAAGCTCCACAGTCCTGGTGCCCAAAATTTTTTTGCTAGACGTGCCAGTGATGCTCACCTGCTCTCTACAGCCTTCCCCTCCCATAGTATCGCTCTCCCCTCTGATCTCTACAGGTACCATGAACTTTATTTTGTTCACGTGAGCCGCTTTACCGCCTTCCATAGAGTTTCTAAGCCAACTTTACTCCTTCCTCCTCCCCCCCCCCCCTTCCCCAACTCTTCGTTGATTTCCTACTTTTGCTGAAGGATAGAGGAGTAGAACAGATGGGATTGGGATGATTGAAAAGTTCCTATTAGAATTTTCTGTCGAAGCCTTTTCACTCTGAAGCTTCTCTTAGACAGAGTTCTTCAAATATTCTCTACAGTTTTCGGTTCTCGAGCTTTCATGTTTCCCTCACCAAGTTGCCTTTAACGCAAAAAAATTTTTCAGCGCTCTACTGAGTTTCTCCGGAACCCTCTCTTTCGCTCCTGAAGTTCTTCTTCGAGAATGTCATTGTCATTCGAAATTAAACTCTCCAACCGGTCTTTTTTTTCTGTGGCCTTAGTTTGACTGGCTCTCTTTAGTTTACCCGAAGTGGCCTGAAACCCACTGCGCTACAGCTAAAACGGTCGATTTCTTTAGTATGAAAACCTAAAATTACCCCGCTTACGACCCCCCGTTGCGACAGTCGCATCCACCGCTTGACCCTGTTCGTGAGCCTTTCTGCGGGCGTCTCTTCGCAAAGGTGTAAAGTAGCGCGCATTGCCCCTAGTAGGTTCCCGCAAGGACGATTCAGTAGCACCTTTCCTGTAGATTATGGATCGCCAAAAAAGCTTCCGCAAATTTTTTTCGAAAGAAGATAGAAGGGCTGGTGAATTGGGGAAAAAATCATGTCGTTCGAAAATCTACTCGCCGTAACCTTAGAATACGAATCTATCCTGCTTAGCAGAAGTGAGTTTTGTAATCAGCAGGTCACATAATCTCTGCGAGCGAGCTTTCCAAGAATTTCGAGCTTTTTGATTTTTTCTTGATTACGCCCCGAAGCCTGCCGTTGGGTTCCGGCTAAAATATTGATGATCTTGGATTGAAAGGAAACTCTGTTTATAGAGGTTTTCGGACACGCTGTTTACAAAAATAGTGATGTTTGAAGAAGACAGGGTCTTTCTTGGAAAGATACGGTGAGGTGACTGTAGCTGAATCACGAAAGTGCGTAACTTTTCCCGCACTTCTCGCGTGTCTGTCAAAAAAACATGCCTGCTTGCTTTTTCAGGTCAAAATTACTAGGGACTGTGCTATCGAACGGTGCATGACTCGGGTTCTATTCTATAAAAATCGCCGAGTTACGAGCCTACGAATCCTCATAGATTTTACCCAAAATGTAAAGATCGCACTTCGCCAAAATTCCGACGTGAGTGGTTGTATCGTCGTCTCCCCGGCGTACGTTGGGCGGAGCTTTAGCGCACATTTCAACAAGTTGGTGAACTTGTCAAGCCTCTACTTCAAAGCTTGGTTCTTTGTACTCTCTAACCTGCCACGTTTATATGCTGTTGTCACACGTGGAAGGGTTGGTAGCGAGAGATCACAAAAAACAATGCTTCGAAGTAAAGGGTTAACAAGTTCACCAACGTGTTGAAATGTCCGCAAAAGCTCCGCCCAACGTACACCGGGGAGCCGACGATATAAATACTGCAATTTTTTCACCTTTATTAATGGATCTTACTTGCTGGATTTGGAAATTAGGTATATCTGAGTTTTACATACGAAGCTGCTTTGATATTGCTTTGATATAAGCAGCTGAAGACCACGCAACCTTCATATTCAATACATATTCCTTGGACGAAGTGAACATAATATTTAAAATTAGAATGTTATATAACCACTCACGACATGAGGACGTGTTTCGTAGGCTCGTAACTCGGCGATTTTTATAGAATAGAGCCCAAAACATGCACTATTCGATGGCACAGTTCCTACTAATTTCAACATATAAGAGCAAGTAGGCAAGTTCTTTACCAGATATGCGAAAAATGCAGGCAAAGTGTTCCTTAATACTACGGCGCAAGACGCAGCGTGCGCCGCAGGAATCGCTTTAAAAATATACGTTCACTGCAACGCCTTTTCGCTGGTTATGTATGTATCTCTATATCTCCTGCGCGTTCACGTTCATATATACATAACCAGCGAAAAGGCTTTCCAGTGAACGTATAATTTCAGAGCGATTCCTACGGCGCACGCTGCGTCTTGCGGCGTAGTATGAAGGAACTGAAATTTACGAACTTTCATGACTCAGTTGCAGTTACCTCACAATATTCCTGCAGAAAGACCGTCTTCCTCATTTTTGTAAACAGCGTGTCCGAACCTCTATAGACAGAGTTTTCTTTCAATCCAAGATCATCAATATTTGCGAAACCCAACGGCAGGCTTCGGGGCGTAAATCAAGAATGGAAAGCTCGCTCGTAGAGATTATGTGACCTGCTGATTACAAAACTCACTTCTGCTAAGCAGGATAGATTCGTGTTCTAAGGTTAAGGCGAGTAGAATTTGAGGCGACAAGATTTTTCCCCAACTCACCAGCCCTTCTATCTTATTTTGAGAATTGGCGATCCATAATCTACAGAAAAAGTACTACTGAATCTTCCTTACGGGAATCTACTAGGGGCAATGCGCGCTACTTTACACCTTTGCGAAGAGACGCAGAAAGATTCACGAATACTGAAATTGGAATATCAAGGGCAAGCTGCATATCGAGGATTCGCCTTGATGAGCTGAGCACAATGCATTTTTCGGATTCAGAATACATTCATCCCTAAGGAAATTATGACAAATAGAATTTGCAAACGCGTGATTTCTCCAGGATTCACCAACGCTTATATTTCTTCTGGAAAGAAGACTGCGGCTATGCTTTAGTGCGCTATAATTTATAAAAACAGTACTATCGAATAATACTTACTGGTATCTTTTATGTTAGATGGGTGCTGCGTAACATCCTTGCAAACAGACCTCAGCAGAATAATTTGAAGAAACTGGAAACGGAACATCTAGGACATGCTGTATATAAAAGATTCGAGCTGAACGAGCTGAATACAACTCTTTTGGATTCAGAACATAATTATTCTGAATGGAGTTATAGCGCGTTATGGCGCTGATTCCCGGAATTCCGCGACAATCATGGAAATTTTGCACATTCTGAGAGTGGTATTATACCAGGTGATGAGATGCAGAGGGTGTGCTAGTGAAAGATTAAACACAATGATAGCAATATGTATAACATACTCATAGAACTCTCAGAGATAAAGACAAGTTTTTTAGGTCATTAAAAACGAATTCGTGGGTGACCCTTACCCTTTACTACATGTATGCTTGCCAGTGAAGACTGCGTAGGCTTCTAGCATGGCACACATTCAAACTTTATAGATGCTACGTAATGAACTACACATGATGAGCAACAAAAATACGGTGAATTTAGACGAAGAAGAAAAAATGTATGCTGTACTTTTTCCATAAAAACGGCTTTAAGTCGCGCCAAAGAACCATACGAAGGGTCATCAAGAGTTTGGAGGATCCGAGTTGCACGATGGAATCAATTTCAGCAAGGCATGCAGCACTGTCGGATGGGTCACGCTTACTCCAATTCCAGAATCCGGGTCTACATTTGTACTATTGAGCCGATACGATACAGGTGCATGATCATACAAGCACATGAGCTACATGTTGGAACTACATATTCCATTCTAGATAACGCGCACCCACTGGTGGACTGTATGCGTTGATTGCGGATGGCTTCATGCCTTGCAGCCTGGTGCTACCAAGAAAAAGGGACAGTTATATATGATCCATGGTGTTTGTAACAATACAGTAGACATGCCGTTGTTGTACGCCATCACGATGTCGAAGACGGAACGGACCTACGAACTTATATTCCTGCAGCTCAAAGAAGAACTGGAACGTCATAGGGCACTTAATAGGCTGGGGATTGTGTTGAATTTTGAGAGGGCTTTCATAGCTGCAGCAAAGAAAGTGTTCCCACAAGCGTCTGTTGAGGATTGCTGATTTTATCCGGCTGTGCTTGGAACAGAAAGAAAGACATCCTAGGTTTGCGCAAGTATCTAGCTGGAGATGATTGAGACTACGAAGTGAGAAGATGGTGAGAAAGAGTGAAGGGATCCATTTTCTTGCCCCTCTCTTTCACTAGAGATTACCCGCATTACAACGACATGATCTACACCGCACACATGAAGCTTATGAAAAGGGAGAAGGAACTGAACTACCCCACAGGCTTGCCGCAGCATGCCTATAGGAGTTGTCGGCGACACTAATTAGCACCGTATGCAGAACTGATGCCTACACACAGTAAGCCCATTCAGCAACGCATAATTCGGAATTTAGCCAAGTTTCCAAATTCTTTTACGCAAGGCTTTATTTAGACACACTTTACTGTGAAATTGAAAAAAACTGAAAGAAAAAGAAGAGGTCTGTAGCAATCAGGAAAACTAGCTGAATTCGAACTTTATCAAACTTTTACAATCCTACATTAGAGCATACTGTGTGAACGGATTAGCTCTGCATAGGGTGCTGGTTGCTGTTGTTGACAACTCATAATTCCTAAAGTAGCTGATACAAGTCTTTAGGGTAGGTAATTCTCACCCTATAAAAAGTGTTGCCAGTTTTTGCGCTAACTTAAAACAACGTGGTACTCGGGCCCTTTTGAAGACCTGTGGAACAAATGGGCAAATGAAGACACAAAAACCACCAATGTGGCAAGCTTTTCTTAGGTAAGGACTAGAAGCTATGCACATTTTAACATATGAATACTTTAGAAGGCTCGGAGAGATGCTCAAATACAAATACCAGTTAATGTTGAAGCTGTTAAAACTGCAACACAGAAGCTAAAGCAGAGATTATTCGTATGGAAAGTGTGGGTGTATCGAAAACTAAAACCCGACGCATGCAAATGTAAAACTTTCAGGTGCACTGGTAAAGTATTGAAGAAAAGGGACAGGATAAGACGCGCAATTATTCTTGCAGTGATGAGGCGCTATGAACAAGAGTTTCCCCAAGCAACCCCATCAGAATCAGCACAAATATAATATCAATCTCTTGCAGAAAGATGTCGAAGTTTGTGACTAATAAAGTAAATCAAAAGAAATCATTCTACTTAAGCTATTTGGATTATTGACTATTGTGTTCCTACTCAGTGCTACTATTGTGTTATTGATCACGTGTTACTACTGAGCTATCAACAGAAAATGTTTTCAACAACCAACAATAACAACATCAACAATATCAAAATATAAAAACGAAACAAAGCACAAACAAATCAGAAAAACAAATACACAAAACAGAAACAAAAACTGGACTTGCGGATAAACTGGAGAAGTCGGAGACGTGGGACAGAAAATATATGAATAAAAATTACGAAAAGAAATAAACGAAACATTAGGTATAAAGGTTGAATGAGACAATGATATTAGGTTGTCCCAAAAGTAAACCGTATTTTTGCATAAATAAAACTGTTCTTGTTTTTCTGACAAACTTGGTGCACCATTCGATAGAGCGAAGTAAGCTCTACAAAACAACAACCAAAGAACAGGCTAAGACGCTATCCAGGTAAAATTTGGATCCAAAAATCAAAATTTTTTAGCTACCCTAAAAATCGGATCTCCTTCAAGAAAACTCTTACGGACTTCCAACTTGGTCCTTATATAATAGACACTATTATTATCGGAAAATAATTTTGGTTGATGTCTTCCGGAGTTCAAAATTGAGAAACAAAGGGGGTCCCAAAATGCCAAATTGCCACTTTTTCCGAGTTTTTTATGTAAAACTTCGTTTTTTCGAATATAAGAGCACATACAGGGGTAAGGTTTTGAAATTGTACTAAGAAAGGCTTGTAGTATACAATCACACATGTGGGAGAGGCTGAGGGCGGAGTTTGCCATTTTTGGGGCTCGGAAAAAATTCGGTAAGAGCTTATTTGAGTACTACTATGTGCCTACTGTATAATGACCAAGTTGGGGGTCCGTAGGGTTTTTCCTCGCGAAAATCCAATTTTCAGGCGAAAAATTAATTTCGATTTTGGCTTCAAACTTCACGTGAAATGCGACTTGAGCGGACCCTTTTTAGACATCTTGCAGAGCTTGCTTCGCTCTATCGAATGGTACCTCAAGTCTGCCAGGAAAACAAAAATAGTTTGATTTATTCGAAAATACGGTTTACTTTTGGGACAACCTAATAAATGAGAACAGAATGAAAAATCAGAGCAAAACACGTAAAAGTAAGAAGTTGCAAAATACGAGAGAAATGAATCAAAATGAGGAAATACGATTCTGGCTAAGAATCGTGAACAAATGGGTGAATCATCGGTCGATAACATGCGCGTCCTTTGAAGGCAGTGGCTCGGCAAATCCTCGATCTTTGGTTTTTCGCTATCTGGGGGTAATCCGACGCGCTGATTCAAAATCCACTTTTCAGAGCGCGAAAATGACGAAAATCAGCATCTCTCAAGACCTCTCATTTTGAATTTGGACGAGTGGAACGCTTCGTCATGGTAAGAGACGTAGAGTCGTTGTGGGACCCTCATGTCTATCGCATTACTGCATGCCGCTTCTGACGGTGTGAGGGATATCGCAAGCTCGTCCAGCGCGCGTAAGAATGACTTGCGCGCACGGGTTTAGGGGCAATTTTCTAAGCAATGGTTGCATGCTGTGCGCTCGGACCTGCTCCATTCTCATGTTTGGGGTACAAGCAACCTTCCACGTCAAAGTTTCGGGATGTTCGGTTTTGGCAAGCTGCTGCCTTTAAGATACTCCCCAAAGCTGTTTTGCAGCTGGCAGCTGGGTGGCTAGCGGAGCTATAGTTATTCTTGACCGCCGTCCGAGTTAGGTCTGCTTTATCTAATAATGCCTACTTCTAAGCCCAAATTCTGCGTAAGCATGCTATCATCATGATAGTCCATCGTGCAAAAACACAAGCGAATCCGCTTAGTGGAGTTCTCGAAATTTGCGCGTCAAACGGATCCACTTGGCTTCTGGCCAGCAAAGTTGAGTATGTTACAATTTTTTGCAAAGTCGTGAATATATTTGACAAGTTAATGTGCAAGCAATAGTCTTTGAATCAAAAAGACAAAAGTTTTTTACTTTGAGAAACGACGCCAAAAATTATTTGTTGCGTAAATGAACAATTTGCCAACATTATACCTGAGCATTTGCAAAGATTTTTGCACAGAAGTGTAACTCAAGGCGGTCGTTGACCTTAAAGCGATTACTCAGCCAAAAAAGTCTTAAAATTGATTGAATGCGTTTGTTCTTTTGCAAAAGTTTCCACGCGAAACCACCAACTAGAATAAGTAGTTATTTACAATTCCTTCGTCAGCATTGCGCACAGAATCTCAATGCCATTATTATGCAAAAATGAGTACGGCTTCTGGATAGCAGAACCAGTGCGATCCGAGGTGGCGTATTGATTACAAATATGTTACCAATAATATACCATATGTTTTAGAGACTTTATGTTAAGCGTGCGGTAGACAAACGATAATGCGAGGAAGGGGGTATTGAGACAGAACTTAGGGAAAGGGTTGTTTTCGGCGGTTGTGTGCGACACCTCTTGCTCGACCTGGTCACCTCTGCAAAAGACGTCCGCAGAAAATTTGAGAAAACTGGAAACGCAATGTGAGCACATGCTTATATAAAAAAGATTTGCCTTGACGATCTGAGCGCAGTGTTTTTTCTCTCGGATTTAGAATATATTCATTCAAAAAAGTCAGGCGCTGCGTAGTTAGCGTGATTCGCGCGATTTTTCCGAAAATCCCGTAATGTAGCGAAATTCCCGAGAGTCCGCGGCATCCACGGAAATTTTGCACGTTTTGTGAGCGGTATTGTACTTTGGGAGCACTCTGTATTGAAACTTGAAAGGTTTCAAAATTCAGTATACTTGATAATTTTCAGGGGAAATTGTAGCCCGTGGTTAACCTCGATCAGAGGAGATGATTTCTCCTGAAGCGCTCATGTGAGGTTCCATCAGGTG